GCGCTTCCCCAGCACAGCTGGAGCCCGGGAGGGGGAGAGCCCAGCCGGGGACGCAGGGTCCGGAGGCATAGGGGCTGCCCAAAGCCCAAGCGCTACTGGCTTCACGGGTTTGCTGGGCAGCCTCCAGACCCTGCGCCCCCGGCTGGGCTCTTCCCCTCCCGGGCTCCAGCTGTGCTGGGGAAGCGCCGGCCGGGGGCGCAGGGTCTGGCGGCTGCCCGGCAAACCGTGAAACCGGTAGCGTTTGGGCAGCCCTTTTCGCGTGGCTGGGAGGGAGGAGGGGGAGTTAGGGCGGGGACTTTGGGGGCATGGGTGGGGAACGGGCGGAGTAGGGGCGGAGTTGGGGTGGGGCAGGCGGTGGGAAAGGGGCAGGGCCCGTGGAGTGTCCTCTTTTTTTATTTTTTAAATATGGTAACCCTACTGGAATGCAGCAGCTTTAGTGGCTGCAGCCCAGGGCAAAAAGACCTGCACTTTTGGCAGTCCAGAGATCATTTTGCTGGGCCCCCGTTTCCCTGGGGCCCTGGCCGGAAGCCCCTAAAGCCCCTTTCTTAATCCTTTCTTAATCCAGCCCTGAGCAGGTGCAAAGCAGGATCCCAGCCAGCTCCCATGGGGAGAGGGGAGGGAGCCCCACACTGCCCCAGTCTGCCCCATCCCAGATCCAGTCCCATCTGCAGCTACGCTCTACTGCCTGCCCCCCCCCCCCACCAAGCTCCGGTTCCTGTCACAATTCCAGTCCTCCCCCTGCTCCGCCCCCAGGCAAGTCCTGCCCAAATTTCCTCTCCTCCCCCAGGCCAGCTCTGCCTCTAGCCCAGAGGTGCGCAAACTACGGCCTGCGGGCTACATCCAGCCCATGGGACCGTCCCTCGGGCCAAAAAGTTTGCCCACCCCTGCTCTAGCCCCAGCTCCTCCCCCATCCCCAGTTCTGCCCCCAGCTCTGCCTTCAGCCCAAGAGCCACTGCTGAGCCAACTGTGCAGTAATGGAGTGGGGGGGCACAGACAGATTCCATTAGTGCAAGGTGTGTGTGATCGGCAAAGCTTGGGCACCACTGGTCTTGTCTGATTTCCTGAAGAAGAGATTGAATAGAAATAATCCATCCGCCTTAACTGTCATAGTGATGATAAAAAAAAATAAAACTTAAGAAAAGTGAAACACCTAACAAACAATATGTGAATGTCAGTTTAATGTTTAGGCAAATGAGATATAGAAATAGGTATCCTTCCCTTGACAAGGATTTGTTGTTGTTGTTGTTGTTATTGAATCCTCATGTGGGAGTTTGTTTAAATGTTGTGGAATTGTTTGCTGTTACATTTAACTTTACAAATTTGTTTCACTATTTAACCTGTTTTTCTTTGTTTGTTTACTTGCTTTTTTCTGTTATTTTTTCATTTGGGGGTTAGTGTAATTGTATAAAATGAGGAAACACTAAATTGGATCAATTTTACTTCAAAAGCTAATTTGAAAAAACTTATAAGCAATAGAGTCAGAGTCTAAGACCAGAAGGGACCACTGGATCCTCTCATCTGATGTCCTGAGGAGAATGGTGATGTCTCTCATCCTTCACTGTCATATTGATGATAAATAGAAATTAAACATAACAAAATGGAAAAGTCTAACAAAAATATCTATTTATTTCTCTTTAATTTTTAGACAAACGAGATAAAGAAATAAGTAAGTGTCATTATCCTTCTTATGACAAGAAACATTTTGTACCAATTTCGAGTCTCATGTGGGAGTTTGTGTAATTGTGGCAGAGTTGTTTGCTTTTAAATATAATTTTTAAAATTGTTGCACAAGGAAACCTTTTTCTTTTTTGCTTGCTTTTTTTATTATTACTATCATTCTTTTTTATTCATGTGGGTTTGTTCTGTAATGTAACTTTATAAAATGTGGGGACAGACTAAAGTGGATAAATGTCACACCAAGAACTAATTTGTAAACCTGAAAAGCAATAGAGTCATAGAGTCACAGAGTTTAAGACCAGAAGGGATCCTCTAGTCTGACCTCCTTAAGGGGAGATTGAATACTCAGCCTTAACATTCATATTGATGATAAAGGAAAATAAAACATACAAAAATGGAAATGCCTAAAAAAAGTGTCTGTCTGTTTAATTTTTAGGCAAACGAGATATAGAAATTGGTAAGTGTCATTATCTTTCCTCTGAAAAGGATTATTATTATTTTTAATTGGATCTTCATGTGGCAGTTTGTTTAAATGTTGTGGAGTTCACTGTAAAATTTAACTTCTACAATTTTGTTGTAATATGAAACATCTTTTTTGTTTACTTGCTTTTTATTATTATTCTTTCGTGGAAGGGTTAGTGTAATTGTATAAAACGTGGGGAACCACTAAAGTGGAGAGATTTCATACCAAAAGCTAATTTGAAAAACTTATAAGCAATAGAGTCACAGAGATTAAGACCAGAAGGGACCACTGGATCCTCTTGTCTGATGTCCTGAAGATTATGTTGATTTCTCTCAGCCTTTTCTGTTGTATTGATGATAAAAAGAAATAAAACATAAGAAAAGGGAAATGCCTAGAAATAAATATATTTTTTTCTTTCCTTTTCAGAGAAACGAGATAACGAGATAAGTAAGTATCATTATCCTTCCTCTGAAAATAAACTTTTTTTTATCAATTTGGAGTCTCATGTGGCTGTTTGTTTAATTGTGGTGGGGTTGTTTGCTTTTACATTTAAATTTAAAAATTGTTGCAATAGGAAACCTTTTTAGTTAGTTTGTTTGCTTTTTTATTATTATTATTATTATTATTATTCTTTTGGGATTTGTTTGTTAATGTAACTTTATCTGGTGAATTTCACACCAAAAGCTAATTTGAAAAATTGGTAAGCCGTACAGTAGTAATGTAGGTAATGGCCAAAAAAAATATGGCCCGGGAGGAATTGTGGGAAGACACTGGAAGACTATCAGCACCTGAGATGATTATCTTCCCTCCACACTGCAAAGTGGGCATGTAACCAACCTGAATTAAAGTGGTACCTGGGCTATAGCCTCTACCCAAAGTCTTTCCAGCTAACCTGGGTGCAAAGCACCACCAAACTTGAGTCAGAGTTTTTGTGCTTGCGCATTAAACAGGTCGGGGCAACAGCCAGATAAGATCCTGAGCTAACTCTGCAGTGAAGATCCACCCTGGGAGAGTCCAGTGGAGGGTCTGATGAACTTATAACTTTCTTTTTCCCTCAGTGTATTAGTTTGTACAATATTGAATCATGCAATACATGTTCAGATCTGCTCTCCTCTCTAATTATGTGGCTGGTTTTAGGGTGGAGAAGATCCATGGCACCTATAGAAGAAGGTAATTAAAGATCATATTTTATCAATGTCCAAATACTCGTTCCCATGAGGCAATGTGCCTCTTTTTCTTTGTATATGGGAATGGAGGGTGATAGTTCAGGGCAGACCTCCCCAGCACCCTTCATTTCAAGGAGCATCACAAGATGAGGTGGGGTTTGTGCCTATGTCCTACCACACCATAATGAAACTACATCATATTGCATCTACTTTTCCTTTCCCTCCTCCGCCAGCATGTGCACTGCACTTTGCAGAGATCTGTGATAGCAGCTGCCACCCAATGTATAGAACCAGTGGGACATGCACCTCCACAGCCACTAAGTCAGGGGGAGTTTGTTTTATTTCCCTGTGCTGATGTCTGATCTCCAGTGTCCCTTTGTTTCTTCCTTCATCTTTTCCCCTCTGAAGAAAGCCAGGAGCTCTGCAATGACCCCACGCTGATGGGGTGATCAGGGAATGTGTCTGTGTGAGACCCTTGCTCCAGTCTCAAGCAGAGGAACAGAGCCATGATCACAGATAGGGGCTCTTCTGGCTCCATTATACACATCTGGGGAGCTCCTGTGATCAGCCCTGTGAGCTTGTCTCTTTTCTCTTCTCTCCATCCACCATGCTGAGATCTCAGAGCTGACGGGTAAATCCTGGAGGAAGGAGATTCCCTGAATCAGTCCCCAACTGGGGCAGATTCTATCACTGACACCATCAAACCCTCCACCAGGGCTGTGCTCTGCCCCTCATGCTCTGATTCTCTCTCCCCAGCGAATGTGACTCTGGATCCAGACACGGCTCATCCCCACCTCGTCCTGTCTGATGGTCAGAAAAGTGTGAAATGGGAAGACACAGAGCAGGATCTGCCCGACGACCCTGAGAGATTTGACACTGCGCGTTGTGTGCTGGGCTGTGAGGGATTCACCTCGGGGAGATATTGCTGGGAGGTGGAGGTGGGGGATGGGCAATACTGGGCTATGGGGGTGGCCAGAGAGTCTGTGAGGAGGAAGGGACGGATCAGACTTAGCCCTGAGGAGGGGATCTGGGCTGTGGGGCGATGTGGGGGTCAGTTCCAGGCTCTCACCTCCCCTGTGACCCCCCTGTCCCTGAGCCGGGCCCCCAGCAGGATCCGGGTTTGTCTGGACTGTGACTGGGGGCAGGTGACATTTATCGATGCTGGTGACGAGGCCCCGATCTTCACTTTCCCGCCGGGCTCCATCCCTGGGGAGAGAATCCGACCCTGGTTCCGGGTGCGGCCAGGACCCCAGCTCAGACTCTGTCCCTGAGACACACAGCAGAGGGGCGGAACTGGAAATCAGCTTCTCTAGCCTCATGGACCCCAGTCTCTATGACCTTGGAGGACTCCGATCTACCCAATCCCTGGCTTCTCATCTCTATAACTCCTGGAAGCTCCTCCCCCTCCCTGCACGCCCCAGGGATGGAAGTGGGAGGGGGAAGAACCCCTGGAGCTGCAGGAGGAG